TCAACATGTCTCGTAAATTATTTGATTTTTTTATAATATATTAAATTCTAAATATAGTTGTTAAACCATGATAAAATCATCTTTATTTTATTAAATGCTTAAGTTATATTGTTCGTTCTTTTGATAGTATTTAAGATATATTTTGAAGTTTTTGTATAATTTTAAGACATTACATACTCTCGGGATTTATTTTCTTTATAATGTTTTTGAGATATGCCCATAAAAATAATCTAATGGTAATAAATAAGAGTATCCTTCTTGTCGTCCAATTTAACCACTTCTTCCTGTAGGTACATGTATCTGGTAAAACTTAGTTTCAATAACATGAAACAACAGCATTTAAACTTACGGACGCACTATTTGATAACTCCAAAAACTTGTTTACACGGGTAGAGTTGTGAGGAGACTAGAGTAGCGAGTAGAGTCGACTCTACTCGCTACTCTACCAAAAATGGCTTGATACCGTTCACACGAGTTACAAGTATAGTACTGATGCTAGTATAGTGTGGAGTGGGTGTTTTTTTTAGTGTAAAATTAATTCAAGGAAAAGAAAATTGATTCAAAATTTTTTAGCTACAGTTGCAAATGTATTTTTTGTAACTTAAGTCGCTGAAGCTATCGATGATGAGGTAAACAAACAAAGAAAGTAGTGGATGAGAGAGTGGATTAAAAGAAGGAATACGCACGGGGCCTCAGCTCTTCTGCTAAGAGAACTAGCCTTCAAGGATAAGTTGGAATATAAGATGTGTCTGATCCGGTTTACTGTCAAATCTGATATACAATCGTTGACTTTTATCTTGATAAGAATACATTTTTTATTTCTTATTGTATTTTTCATTAACAAGTAATTAAAACCTGTAACTTACACGTTAGCCTTTAGTTTTTTTGTTTCCTTTTGCACCTTTCATGATTGCTTCCATAGGAGTGAACCATTTCACGTTTGGAACGTATACATCGGCTGAACCTGAACCCAATTTTTTTAATTTTTGTATTTTTAAACACTCTTGATTATAAGTGCACCTTATATTCTTAATTTTTTGCTTGAGCTCGTTTACTCTAAAGCACCCTTTTGTCATTCTTTCGACGATTTCATCCTTCGCAGTTTGCCTCATACTTTTATTTCTGTAGTGTACACTACCTAAATTCCATAAACACTGGTATTCGCCATACATCTCTACAAGTTTTAAAGTTTCATCTTCAGTGAACTTCGTTTTCACTATTTACACAAAACAAAACTCCAGCCGGAATGATAGCATCCCTATGCACTCTCTTACCTACTCTACTCTACCAGAATTGACCGCGTTCCATGGGTAGAGTTCGCAGGCGAGTGGACATTTTGGCGGTGGTGGTGGTAGTAGAGTAGAGTTACTTTGCCACATGTTGCTAGTCAGTCTACTCTACTACCTACTATGCACTCTACTTGCTACTCTACTGCGCTGAGCGTTTTCACGGGTAGAGTTACTCTATTCTACTTGTAACTAAGTACTTTCATCATTACTACGGGTGTAAACGGGTCTTAAACTATATAATGATCTTACAAACTGAAATAATTTGAAATCGGTCAAAATTGCCTCTTATAAAAAAATGAATCAATAATAGTCTATTGCAGATTTGAATGTACATATTCTGAAAAACTGCATAAAATACATTCTTATCTTAATATGCAGAAAATATTAGGGTAAGTGTGTATAAGAGCACACATGTGTATAAGAGTACGCACCTATTATTTTTAATATATATCTTCATCTATTAAAATAATTTTTACTTGAAGACATTCTAAATGCATTCCTACTGCACGGTCATAGAAAGGACTAGGACTAGGACGATAATGCAGAAATCTGCACTATCCTAAAATCCTAAATCTGTCCTAGTTTTGTCAATATGGTCGCTGCAAATAGTTGCTGTTCAGATTTATCGTTAGTTCCACATAAGCATTCAACTTGAACGTATAGTGAAGTTCCAGAAAAAAATCCTGGAGAATTCGCGAACGGATCCACGGTGCCGGTGAGACGCTTTCTGCACGTAAGGACCACCAGAAACAAACAATAGATGCGAAATTGCTACGTGGAGGTGTAAAATGTAGATGTAAGGCGCCAAAATTAGTAATCTAGCATCAAATCGAACGGGCGTGGCGCCAACCGGTCGACGAATCCTTGTATACCGATTATTGAAAAATAAGGGGGCAAGGAGGTGTTGACATTGGTGCCTGTCTGGAGCTTTTCTCCGTAGAGTTCTACCGAAATACGCAAGTGAACAAACTCCCAGGTAAAGACTCACACACTTCCCTATACTTACCAATATAACCCATCCTACTTCCTACACTTAATAATATCCTTCATAATAATAAACACATCAACACCTTCTAATACACACCTAAAACCCACTCTTACAGAATATGCCACGAACACGATCCAAATCCCGAAAACAGCAAGATCTCCCTCAACCAACGAAACCAACAAAATCAGAAGCCGAATGACAAAGTAATTCCGACTCCCAATCCTCTTTCTTACACACCTTATACGTGTCAGTCAATAATGACGGACATGAAACAACGACGCCACAGGAATAGAAGCAGGCTCTCAGTGAGATCTGCCACCAAAATCCTGAGGCGGCCAGCGACCACCTCACACCAATAGTTCATAAAATAAACAAAAACACAAAAAAGCATCACCCACCCCTGAAGCCCTCAGAAAAATCATACAAAATGCCTTCATGTCTGGTATTACTGGATACATTCACTCTCCCTCCCCTCCTCCATCCTCTACCCCTCCTCCACCCTCTCCACCTCCCACTCCCATACCTCCACCATCCCCTGAACCTCCACCAAAACCAACCAAACCTATCCCAAAACCTACCCCTAAAAACACATCACACACACAGATATTACATCACCCTAATCCCGCAAAAATATTTCAGCCAAAGAAAACTCCTAAGGACCTTAAAAAACCATAATCTCCTCGGAGATATCCCATTCGAACTGGAAACGGAAGCATCCGAAGGCCAGACCATCCTATACACAACAGGCCCTCTTCCCAACCTAAAGGAATGGGAGAAGGGTCCCCCTCCATTCAAACCCATATACACACTCCAGAAATAATAACACCACACACACCACCAACACCACATCCTATACACTCACAAACCACCTCACCAAACCCTCAACCAACATTCCTTTCGTCCTCTCCGCAACAACCACCTCACTTTAAAAGTTACAGAATCGAGGACATCCCCACAGATATCGGTCAGCAGAGACCTTTCTACCGTCTTCTCAAAGAACACAACCTCATCCCACATTTAGACTCGATAATACTCTTCCCCGCCCAAAAGGCAGCTTCCGTACGAACTACCAAGCTTCGAGACATCGCCAACATCACGGCAAAACTCCGAAATATTACAAAAAAGACATATTCCGAATTATTGCTCGTCTACCAAATTAATCCCAAAACTCTTAACCTAATCCAAACAATTCGCCTATCTTTCACTTAGTCATAGCCGGCGTTGCAAAAACATTCCCTCAAAAAACCATTGAGGATAATTTATCCGAAACCAACTTCCCATACACAAAAATAGTTCATATAATTGCCTAAGCCACTAACCAACCTACCTCCTATTATCAGAGTATTCACTAACTCTGAAATAAAGTTCGCTGAAGCGCTCTCGAGCGGTATCTTGATCGAGGGTGAGCGGTTGGCCTGTGAAATACCACGATCAGGCAACTCCGTTCCCATGCGTTCGAAGTATTGCTCGAAATGTTGCAAAAACGGACATTTAAACAACGAATGCCCAAAAAATAAATTATTTGTCCGCTCGGCCACAGGTCCTCTGCCTGCCCCACGATATCTGCTCCCAAATGTCCAAACTGTAACGGTCCTTATCCCGCTTCTCACCATGATGTCCACACCGTAGCGCTCATCCCGCTGTGACCAAACCAACCAGTATACACAGAGAAACAAATCCCTTCCTCCGGTATGAAATCCTTAATCCACTTCACATCCATGCTCCTATTCAACGTCTTCCCTGAAAAGAGAAGCGCAACCATTCGATTTCTAAACTAAATATCCAACGCAATGTACGGATGTGCCATAGTCACTTCCTGCACAAACAACGTTATAAACCAAACCTTCACCCATCTACACATCTAAAAACACATACACATCATCACACACATGCACCCTAACAGAATACCCATCCCACACACACTTTACCTCCACTCCGCTCATAATCCTAAATAATAAATATATAAATCCAACACTGCACTCCTTAAGAGTCGAATAAATATCACAAGGACAGGGGGAGATTGGTTTTCTGTGGTTTCCCAATCTCATTCCACATTATACCTGATCCTAGGTGAGGACATAGCCACAGCTATCCTCCACGCGTTTTCCAACAAACAAAAAAGGCCAATAATCTGAAAGGAATCGTTTTTTTCACGGAACTTGTACTTTGTGACAGGCTTGGTTCACTCGACTACTTCTTCCGGAAGATCCGGGTTTTCTCCTCGTCCCTTTTTCTTCTTCTCGGTGACTCCTCTTCCGATACACTTCTTTAGCGGCGGCGTCCCTAGTCTTGGGAATCAGAGGTCTCATGAACGAAAACTAGCATTAGAAACTAAATAAGCATAAGCACCCAAAATAAATTAAACCCATCCTTGAAGTAGCACTAGAGCTTAAACAAGGTAAACATGCTGGAACCTTCAGATTTATAATTTTGTGTGTTCGCAATTTAATCAATTGAGAGGTAAGCAAACTGTCAGATTTTTATAAAATAATTTTAGACTGCATTTATATGAAATAGTGATTGCTTTAAAAAAATGGGCCGTAAATCTATTTGTTTTCGTAATAAACGCTTTAAAATCACAAAATGCATATTATATGTATAAGAGTACGCAGTTACCGATGTATAAGATTACGCAATGCGAACTCTTATACACAGCTGGGTACTCTTAAACAATTTTTGATTTGTTTTAAGTTTTCTTTTTATTTTCAGATTTTATATTCATAATGAGTCGGTACAAGCGAAAAACCGATAGAAAGTTAATTTTTACTGAAGAAAACTTACTAGAAATACAGCAAAAATTAGAAGAAGGATGTGGTAAAAGAAGTGTAGTAAATGGAGATATTTCAAGCGACGTAGAAGCCGAATTAGCACAACAGATACGAGAATTAGATAAGATGTTTTATGAAATTACAAAAAAAAATGCATATAGCAGCCTATAAATTTGCTGAATCTAATAATATTTCTTACCGTTTTAATAGAAATCTACAAATGGCTGGTGAGTCATGGGTAAGAGGATTTTGTCAGCGGAACAAAATTGCGCTTCGACAGCCAGAAAAATGTTCTATGGCCCGAATTATGGATTTTAATAAAAAGGAAGTAACAGGATTTTACAATATACTTAAAAATCTTTATGAACTAAGGCAATACTCTCCAAGTTCAATATCTAACATGGACGAATCGGGTTTATCAACCGTGCCTAATAAGTTACCCAAGACATTAGCGAGCAAAGGAAAGAAACTTGTAGGGAAGGTAGCTAGTGCAGATCGTGGACAACTTGTAACGGCTGTATGTTACATGAACTCCACTGGTAACTATATTCCTTCAGCACTTATATTCCCCAGAAAAAGAATGAAGGAAGAGCTTTTTTTAAATACGCCATGTAAAATTAATTTCTGAATCTAAATATATCAACACGGATCTTTTTTGTAAGTGGTTAATCCATTTTAATTTAAGTTTGCCAAACCCAGTGCTGCAAACAAAGTTCTTTTAATTCTCGACAATCACAGCTCTCGTTGTGACCTGAAAGCTATAAAATATTGTCGATAGAATCACATTGACCTTTTATCTCTATCGCCTCATGCAAGCCATAAACTACAGTCACTGGATATTGGTTTTTTGACCATTTAAAAAACATACAGTAGGGAATGTGACAAGTCGATGGTAAGTAATCCAGGTAAAGTATTTACACAATTTCAAGTTACTGGATTATTTAGTACTGCTTATGGTTCTGTAGCAAATATTCAGAAGGCCGAAAATTTTTTTAAAGCATCGGGAATATATCCGTTTAACCCTGATCAGTTTCATGACATGGATTTTGCCCCCTCCTATGTTACCGACGTACCTTTTGGACAATCCAGTAAGCGCGGTAGTAGATAATACTTCACGTTGAGTCCGTGTAGAAGAACAAAATAATGGACTTTAGCTTCCAATACCATTTGAAGTAATACCACCTTCAAAGCAGCCATAGAATGAAGATGATCTAATCTCTTTTCACGTTACACCGCCTCTCGATGTTACTAATCTTGATATCGAATGCGAAGATGGTGTATTAATACCATCACAAGCTAGCACTAATAGCTTAAATATGTCAGTATCAGCGGCAGAGATTTTACCATTACTCAAAATTAAAGAAAAGCCTAATCGACGCAAAACAAAATCTCAAAAGTTCGAAATACTTTCCAGTAGCCCATATACAAAAGAACTTGAGAATTTGGAAAAAACCAAAGAAGTAGAACAAAATAAGAAGACGGAACGAATCAAAAAAAAATTAGGGCCTACTTACTTACTTACTCCATGGCGTTATAACCCTTCGTGGGTTTAAGCCGACTCGACAACATACCTCGACTGTTTTCTGTCTTGAGCAACCTCCATCCAATTCTCCACGCACAAAGTGCTTAGGTCTCCTGCTATATTATCTCGCCACCGTAGACGAGGGCGTCCGCGTGGTCTCCTTCCAGTTGGGACTTCCTTCCCACTAGTCTTACTGTTCGTTCGTCAGAATGTCTTCTGAGGTGCCCTGCCCATTGGAGTCTTCTGGACTTAATTTCTTTTATGATGTTGGCATCCGGGTAGAGTTCTTCGAGCTATTTGTTAGTTCTTATCCTATATTGTCCTGATGCTTCATCCAGCATAGGACCAAAGATCTTCCTTAGGATTTTTCTTTCCCAAACACATAGTCTCTCTTCGTTTGCCTTTGTTATCGTCCACGTTTCACTTCCATGCATCACAACGGGTCGTATGAATGTTTTATAGACCTGTATCTTCGTATGTCTTGTTAATTGTTTCGATTTTATAAGGTTTTGAAGGGCAAAAAGACATCTGTTCTCGCCTGAATCCTGTTGTGTATTTCTTGACCGATTCTGTCTCTGCTTTGGTTATTGCGGCTCATATACAAATATTTCGTCTTGTTTTCGTTGATTTGGAGCCCCATCTTCTCTGCTTCCTTCTCTAAGCTTACGAAAGTCTCCTTTATACTTAATCGTGTGTTTCCTATTAGATCGATATCGTCTGCAAATGCCAGTAGTAAGTTTGGTCCTTCTCGATGAAATACTGTATTCGGTTTTTCGTATCAACCTGACTAGTTTTTTTGGAAAGCCAAGTTCCTGCATCGCTGTCCACACTCTGGCCCTGCATACTCTATCAAATGCTTGTTTAAAATTTATGAATATCTGATGAAGCTCACGATCAAACTACCAGCATGTTTCCATTTTCTGTTTTATTGTAAATATCTGGTTAATAGTAGAGCAGCTCGGTCTAAATCCGCATTGATAATCTCCAACGATTTGTTCTGTGTATGTTTTGGTTCTTTCTAGCAGGATGTTTGCAAGGATTTGTAGGTAGTGTTTAGGAGTGTTATTTTCCGGTAGTTAGTACATTGCTTTTTGTTTCGTTTTTTGTGTATTGGTACAATAACCCCTTCTTTCCATTCATCTGGCATTGTTTCTTTTCACCAAATGTCTTGAATTAGCTTGTATATAGAACTATACAGCGCTTCTCCTCCATGTTTTAACACTTTGAGGATATACCATCGCTACCTGGTATCTTAATATTTTGAAGTTTTTTAATTACCTGTGTTACTTCTTCGTATGTCGAGTATTGGTCTTCTATTTCAGCTGTATGTACCTCTATGTTTGATGTATTTTTGCTAGATTGGTCGTTCAATAGTTGATAGAAATTTTTCTTCCAGGTTCTTTGGATTGCCTTGTCATCATTGATAAGCTGCCCGCTGTCGTTTTAAAGGCAGTTTCCTCTTCTTGCTTGGTAGCCGCTCTTGATATCTGAAACTCCTTTAAAGAACTGTTTCGCTTGTCCGTTCTTTCTTTTTTCTTCTATATTCCTGATTATTTGTTCCCGATACTCCCTCTTCTTCCTTTTCATTAGTTTTCTTGTCTCGGTTCTTCTTTGTCTATACATTTCATTGTTGTTGTGCCAGGGGTTTTATAGTATGTTCCTTCTAGCCATAATTCTTGCTGTTATGGAGTTCAGGCAATCATCATCGAACCATTTTTTTTGTTTTCTTTGTGTGTTCTAGTATTTCATCTGATACGCTTGTCAGCCCGTTCATGATTTCCCGATATTTTTTTTTCTCCATATTGTTTCATTCAAGCAACCCGCGGCACTGCTTGCTCTATTCACTTTATCTTCCACCCCAGTCTCGAGCTTTCCGTAGCTAGATAATGTAATGCCTAGATATTTAAAATCCATCACTTGTTCTGTTATCTGACCTTCCAGCTCCAATTTATATTTTAATAAATTTGCTGTTATAACCATGCATTTTGTCGTTTTTATTTCTTACTTTTGTATTATTTCATCCTTAAATAGGTTGAACAATAGAGAACTTAAGTAATCTCTCTGTTTTATTAAATTGCCAGCTTCAATAGGGTCGGTTAGTTCTTTTTTACTTTTACTTTTACTGTGTTGTTTTGGTTTGTTTGTTTATTTTTATTAATTAACGTCCGTTAATTTAACCCTATCAAATGTCTTCTTTAGATCCAAGAAACATATATCTGCTGGTTTGTTTTAATCTAATGATTTTTCTTGCACTTGCCTCATTATAACTATAGCGTCGGTGCATGATCTTCCAGACCTAAAACATTGTTGTTCTGCTAGTGTTGAGAGGAAACCTATAAACCATATTAGTACCTTTGAAATAAAAATCTTAACAAGGATATTGGGACCCATTTGCGAAAATGGTATGTAAAGAATTAGGTTTAACTAGATGTTAAGAACCGACAAAGATTGCGCTGGGAAGCAACAGAATACCTAGTAGAATGATTACTAGAACTATAGTGAGACGTTGATCAGTACAAAGACGAGCGAAGAAGTGAATAGACGAAGAAATAACCGATGCTAAAGATATATTAAGAGTGGATAACTGAAGAAAAGCAGCCGAGAAAAAGGATACTTGGAGTCAGATGCTAGAGAGTGATCTGAAGTCCTATTTGAGAAAAAGATTTAAAGTTCAATACCTCTGTTTGGATTGATTCATTTATTGTACACCCACATCCTTTTTCATGTCGGGTTTTATGCCTAGATCACAACATTACGGACTTACCCACGTGTATTATTCCTGACCTTGTCCATCTTAGTACGTGAATGGCTTTAACGTCATACATATTTAGTTCTTCTAGTTATTTTATCGCTCTTGTATCGATACCAGGTCAGTACCAACTTAACACATTCAATCTTCTCTATAGCATACCCTTTCAGTGGCTGTCAAGTGTTTATTTTGCGCTTCCGTCCCATTCGATAACAGTAAAAATCTTTAATCAAAATCTTAATACTGATGACAAAATATATCAGTTTTTAACAAATATAGATGTCTGTGTTTGGAAAATGGCATTCTATTTATTCATTTTCTATTGTCGATATTTATAAAACATGTCTTATTCTATTTGTGGATAAAATCTCCACACATTTAATTTTTTTTTAATTTCTCCTTTTTTGTCGTTTAGCCATTAATAATTCTCCATTGGTCAAAATCTTCAGTCGCGCAAAGGTTTTCGTAGAGTGAGTGATTCGCTGAATTCTGAATTTGGTTGGACCATCTGGTTGGTGACCGTCCTTTTGGTCTTCTCCCAGGAACGGGGAGAAGACTAGTTTTGTTTTACGGACTACTCTAATTAGGTCTTTTCTCGATGGATCCCGATCGATGCTTCTTTGTCACGATCTATTTTAGTAAATGATATTAACAAGATATAGGTGAAGAAAAACAATACCTACAAATTTTACCCTCAGAAGTAAAGAATGCCCTACAGAATGCAAAACAAGGAAAAGCACCGGGTCCTGATCAAATTCCAGTTGAACTGTTAAAAGCCTTAGATGACGGTAATATAAAGAGACTCACCCGAATTCTCAACCACATATATGTAGAGGGCAACATCCCGGAAGAATGGCTTAAATCGATATTTTTACCTGTACCAAAAAACAAAAATCCCAGATCATGTAATGACTATAGATTGATAAGCCTAATGTGCCACCCTTTAAAGATTCTTTTGAAAATTGTTCAAAACCGAATTTATAAGAAATGTAAGGAACAGATAGATGAAACTCAGTTTGGCTTCAGAGGAGGCATGGGTACAAGAGAGGCATTATTTGCGTTGACGGTACTCTTGCAGAAATGTCGGGAATATAACAAGAGTGCATTTGTATGCTTCATAGACTTTAGGAAGGCCTTTGACCGAGTGCAGCATATGAAGTTAATAGATGAATTAAAAAACATCAATTTAGACAAAAAAGACATTGAGTTTATTAAGGCTATATACTGGAACCAGAAAGCAGTAGTAAAGGTGAACGATATAGAAACCGATTGAATATACCGATTGCGAGAGGGTTTAGGCAAGGATGCATCTTGTCTCCGACGCTTTTCAACGTGTACTCACAGGTCATATTCAGAAAAGCCTTATGGGAAAGAAAAGAGGGAATAAGAATTGGTGGAGAAATCATAAACACCATGAGATTTGCAGATGACACGGTAATTATGGCTGAGAGTATAGAAGATCTACAAACTTTACTAGATACAATAAATAGTGAATGCATTCAAATGGGACTTGACATCAACACAGATAAGACCAAATTTATGATAGTATCAAGGAGTCCAATAAATAATGAACAACTAACTCTTGGTGGACAGCAAATAGAGAGAGTGACAAAATATAAATATCTGGGAGCTTACATCAACACATAATTAGATCCAGACCAAGAGATCCGGGTACGAATAGAAATGGCAAGGGCAGCGTTCTTAAAATTCAAACAATTGTTCTGTGACAAAAATCTGAATATTGCGCTGAGACTGAGGTTTGTTGAATGTTACGTCTGGTCGCAATTATTGTACGGGGTAGAAACATGGACACTAAAAGCGCAAATAGTTAAAGATATTGAAGCCTTTGAACTTTGGATATACCGGAGAATGTTGAGAATCCCATGGACTGCCAGGGTCACCAATGAGGAAGTGCTAAGAAGAATGGATCGAGTCAAAAATTGTTGAGAACGATAAAAGTACGCAAGACTGCATACCTTGGACACATACTAAGAAATAATAAATATAGTCTTCTGCAGGTCATGATGCAAGGTAGAGTCGATGGCAAAAAGGGAATAGGTAGAAAGAGGAAGTCATCGCTGCGAAATATTCGAGACTGGACAAACATGACTGTAGACGAATTATTCCACGTTGCAAAAGACAGAGAAGCTTTTAAAAATGTGGTCGCCAACCTCCGTTAATGGGGACAGCATAGGAAGAAGAAGATATTAAAACGATAAGTTGAAATAGTCAAATACTTAAATATTTAGTTAATCGAAAAACTTTTTTACACTATCGCAATAAACAATCATCTAAAAAGTAATTTTTTTCAAAGTAATACTAGTTACCATTAGCTCATCACATCATCCTATTAAAAAATAAGAGTGGTTGTATATTTTTATGTTTAATTTAATTTTTACCGCTGCCTTATAATGTATGAATAGTATGTAGGTTTTTGTTTAAATAATAGCAATTTATATTTTCAATAAATTTTCATATCCAGTATTGGATTCTTTATCTTCTAGTTTATATGAAAAGATTTATTGTGGGATATGTCGAAATATATATTACATGTGATTTTATTTGTAGCTGTGTTTCTCATTGATGATATTGCTAACAAAAGTGTTAAAAAATCAAAACCTAAAGTAAATTATAAGAGTCCAGAAGAAAATGACGACTATTTTGAAGGTGACATCATATTACCACTGGATTCACTGCGAAACGGCAGATCTGGGGAAACATATAGATGGGACCAAGGAATAATTCCATTTAAAATGACTGAAAATGTTACTGTTGAGCAAAGGGAAAAGATTTATCAAGCATTTGCTACGATTCATAAATATACATGTATTACGTAAGTTTGAAATTTGTTTAATATTTATTGGAAATATATAAATCTATCTATCTGTCTAATTAGCCAATAACACCGATCTTTGGACATAGGCTTCCCCCGAATTTTTTTAGAGATTTTTTATCTGGTGCCACATACATCCATCACCCTCAAGCATGTTCTTTTATGTCATCTAACCACCTAAGTTGTGGTTTTTCTCTTTGACGGTAATGAATCCAAGGTCTCCAATGTATATTTGCTTTATTCCATCGGTCATCATTCTGTCTTGGGGTATGCGCTGTGGTCGCTCCTGGTGGATGCCTAGAAATCGCTCATTGACTCACAAGGGGTAGAAGTGCAATTCCATAGGAATGATTTAGTAATTATGGTACGACGAAAATACAGTAATATTCTATCCAACACCCTTCAAATATTAATAAATATCCTTACTCGGTGGCGTGACAAGGAAAAACTTTTTGCCAATCCTAGTAAAATAATAGTAGTCAGTTTCACAAGGAGCAGAACCTAGATAACATCTGGATGTCCGCTCTATATGGAGACAGTATCAAAGAGGCTTCTTCTTCTTAGAGTGCCGTCTCCCTACGGAGGTTGGCAATCATAACGGCTATTTTTATTTTAGAACTTGCTGCTCTAAACAAATCAATCGATCTGCATTGGTACCAATCACGTAGATTCTTTAACCATGAGTTCTGCCTTCGGCCAACAGATCTTCTTCCTTGAATCTTTCCCTGTATTATCAGTCTCAAAATTTCATATTTTTTGGTCCCCTCATCACGTGGCCTAGGTATTTCCAGTTTTCTGGTTTGTATAGTGGTGATTAGTTCTGTTTCTTTACCAACCCTCTCCAGTACTTCTTTATTTGTAATTCTATCAGTCCATGATATTTTCAATACTCTGCGGTATAACCAGAGTTCGAAGGCCTCGATTCTTTTTAAAATTACATTTTTTTAATGTCCAAGTCTAAGCTCCATATAATAATATTGAAAATATATAACAGCGAATGGTACGTAGTCTGATCTCCAAATTTAGATTTTTGCACGTTAGGATTGGCTTCATTCGTATAAATGCTGATCTGGCAATCTCTATTCGTCTGTTTATTTCTACAGTATGATCATTGGTTTCATTGATCAAAGTTCCCAAATACTGATATTTTTCTACTTGTTCTATCACGTTTACCATTTATTGTCAATAGGTGATGTATATTTTGTGGCCTTTTTGTAATCAGCATGTACTTCGTTTTTTTTGGCGTTTATAGTAATTCCCATCTCATCACTATTTATACTCAAGCTTTCGATAAGATGTTGTAGATCCTCTATACTCGTTGCTATGATCATATCGTCAGTGTGGTCTGCATATCTTAAATTATTAATTAATTTTCCGTTAACGGTGACTCCCGCTTCGATATTATTGAGCGTGTTTTGGAAAATTTCTTCAGAATATAAGTTAAACAAAAGTGGTGATAACACACATCCCTGTCTAACTCCTCTACAGATCCTCATTTCTTCTGAGTGATCAAAGAGGCGAATAAGATCAAATATCTAGAGTAACAATAAACATGTTTTCAAATTTCCACAAAATTTAGTTTAACCTCTTATCAGTATAGCGGTTTCGGCTGATTGCCTTTCTCAAGTGATTTATTTTTGGCATACGTTTACACTTTATAGTTAATGAAATAGGTTGAGAAGGGGAGAAGTTGGTCATTCAGAAATATATCTGGGTTTTTTAATTTGTCGATTTCCATAGATTCTAACAAGGATAGCTTAAGGCCTTTATTTTGAATTTGAAGAATTTTAAATTCGTCATTAAAAGAATGATTGTGATCTAGAAGGTGAAGTGCGTATGTAGAATCTGTTTTTCTATTATTGAGAGACTTTTTATGTTCTGCTATTCGTTTATTAAAGTTTCTACCAGTTTGACCGATGTAAGTTTTTGGGCAGTCGCCACATTTAAGCTTGTACACACCACTGTGTAAGTGTTTTTTATTTTGGCTCTTGTTGTTTTTGATATATTTACCTAGGTTGTTATTTGTTCGGAAAGCTGGTGATCTTCCTTTCTTTTTTATGTGTTTGGCTATTTTTGTTGATATTTTGCCTGTATATGTAATCGAGCAAAATATGTACTACCCTGAAATTAGTATTTCCACCACCAGAGAAAAATTTTTTTTTTTTCTAGTTGTGGAAATACTAATTTCAGGGCTTTAATATGTAGTTTTTGATTTAACATTTTGTTAATTGTTTGCTCGTTGTATCAGTTGTTTACTGCTATTTGCTTGATGATATTTAGTTCTGTCTCAAAGTTGTATGTTGACATCGGAATTTCTGTTAATCTATGTAACATACTGTGATAGGCTGCCAGTTTATGTTGTGTTGAATGGGATGATGAATTGTGTATAGTCGTGTCAGTATGGGTAGGTCTATGAAAAATGGAGAAGTCATGTTTGTTTTTAAGTCTGATAATTTTAAAATCTAAAATATTTATGTACTTATTTTGTTCTGTTTCTATTGAAAATTCAATATGACTATGAAGTAAATTAATATACGATAAAAATTGATCGAGTTGCCTATTAGTTCCTGTGAAACATACCAGTACGTCGTCTACGTATCTCCACCAATATAAAAACTGTTTAAATACGGGATGTTTTTAAAATCTTTGTCTCTAGATGATCCATTAAAATATCTGATAGTCATGGGCTTAGAGAATTTCCCATTTGAAGCCATGCACTGCTATTTGTGTATATTTGATTATTAAATTCAAACTAGTCCTGGTTTATGCAAACTTTAAGAAGATGTAGAATTTGAGATGTAAATATTGGATTTGTGTCGGTTAGATAGCTCAGCGGGCTGTGCGGCTGCCTCTCATTCGCTTCACTGTCGAATGGTTCAGTGGATGTGGGTTGAGCCCCAGCTCGGTGTACGGAAAACAAAAAGTCTAACGCAGCAGTTTAAAATTCTAGATGAATCTGCGGCTTAGACTAGGATATGCTGGGATTTGATCGGCCTATGGTGGAGCAGTACGGCAAGAAATAAGGGCTTGCGGCTCGGTGATACTCCTCCATAGATCCCTACCGGACGGGCGTAACGCCTAAAAAACCGGATTATATATATATATATATATATATATATATATATATATATATATATATATATAAATAAATATTGGATTTGTACTATTTTATTCCTAAAGGTTTTTTACTAGAATAAAAGTTTATGTAGGAGGGATACTCCTACTTTTAGTAGACTACTTTTCCTATAGAAACTTTTTTTCTAGTAAAAAACCTTTTAGACCAAAATAGTACAAATCCAATAATTACATCTGAAATTTTACATCTTCTTGAAGTTTGCATAAACCAGGACTACTTTGACTTTAATAATCAAATATATACATATAATAGTGCAAGACTTATAATGGGCAGTCCTCTAAGCCTATCGCTATCAGATATTTTTATGGATCATCTAGAGACAAAGATTTCAAAACAGCCCGTATTTAAACAGTTTTTATATTGGTGGAGATATGTAGACGACGTACTAGTATGTTTCACAAGAACTAACAGGCAACTCGATCAATTTTTATCGTATATTAATTCACTTCGTTATATTGAATTTACAATAGAAACGGAACAAAATCAATCCATAAATTTTTTAGATTTAAAAATTATCAGACTTAAAAACAAACATGACTTCTCCATATTTCAGAAACCTACACATACTGACACGAATATACATAATTCATCATCCCAACCAACACAACATAAACTGACAGCCTATCATAGTATGTTACATAGATTAACAAAAATTCCGATGTCAAAATACAACTTTGAGACAGAATTAAATATCAACAAGCACATAGCAGTAAACAACGGATACAACGAACAAACAATTAATAAAATGTTAAATCAAAAACTACACATTAAAGCCCTGAAATTAGTATTTCCACCACCAGAGAAAAAACCCAGTACCTTCTGCTCGATTACATATTCAGGCAAAATATCAACAAAAATAGCCAAACACATAAAAAAGAAAGGAATAACACCAGCTTTTCGAACAAATAACAACCTAGGCAAATATATCAAAAACAACAAGAGCCAAAATAAAAAACACTTACACAGTGGTGTGTACAAGCTTAAATGTGGCGACTGCTCAAAAACTTACATCGGTCAAACTGGTAGAAACTTTAAAAACGAATAGCAGAACATAAAAGGCTTTCAATAATAAAAAAAAAACAGATTTTTACGAATTTAAAATTATTCACATTCAAAATAAAGGTCTTAAACTATCCTTGTTAGAATCTATGAAAATCAAACAAATTAAAAAACAAAGACATAATTCTGAATGACCAACTTGAGACAAATAGTTCTCCCCTCCACAACCCATTTCATTAGAGACTATAAAGTGTAAAACGCATGCCAAAAATAGATCACTTGAGAAAGGCAATCAGCCGAAACAGCTGTAGTGATAAGAGGTTAAAATAAATTTGTGGAAAGTTTGAAAACAAAGTTTTTAGTGTTTTATTGTTACATAAAATGAATTTCCATCAAGTTACGGTCGAATTCATCAATTATCTAGATAGAGTAATATATAAGCGGCTTGCATTGAACTAAGATTTGCTTTGCAAAAATTTCAGGATAGATGAATTAAAAAATTTTTAGTTACTTTCAATATATATATATATATATATATATATATATATATTATATTATATATATATATATATATATATTATTAACTATCTATTTTTATTACAATCTATTTATAAAATCTCAACCTAAATATGCAGATAGATAATAGACAATAAGTAATAGGACTGACAATTATGACATGGAGTGAGGCATCCGGTGATGCAAAAGTTTTTAAACTTTAATATTGACTATCTTTGACACCTTTTTATACATAATACATAATACTCCTAAAATTATTCAATTACAATAATATGCAGTAATCAATTAACTCTAACGGAACTTTTCGTTTTAACCGTATGCGGTTTATTCACTACACTTTTTGCGATAC